CTTATCTGACTTCCTAGATACCTAAAATCAGCCACTAATATAATTAATAATATAATATGTATAGCTAATTAAAAATTTTGTGAAATCACCTTTTGCCTGTTTTGTTTTTTATTCTACGTACAATAGGACTACATAATTTCTTATTTAAACAATTGAGTTTTGTATTCTTCGTACCTAATTTACTATTTGGAATTCTCTATGAGTCATTTCTATAGCAAAAAGATATTTGTAACTTATTAGGTGGTGAAGCCAAGTTTACATGTGCAATTACAAAAATGCCCAAAAACAATATCTATATTCGAAAATACGATATGAAAGAACGTATTTGCACCAACAATAATAAACAATATCTATTTTAGGATCTCCTGCAACATATGATCCTAGCTTCAAAGGACCTCTTGAAAGAAGGTCCTGCACAGATGTACTCTGTCTGTTATTATTTATAGTTTTCTTAGTATGCTGGGCGCTTATTGGATTCTTGGGTAATTAGAAAAATAATAATTAATTGGATAGACGATAAAACTACATTCATTTATTGCTTATTTTATTCAATTTTAGCTTTGACCAAAGGAAACATTTCGGTTTTAATAAATCCAAAAGACTCCAATGGAAATATATGTGGAGTAGATAGTGATGTAATAGACCGACCGTATTTGGTATTCTTTGATTTAACAAGATGTATTAGTCGGGACGTATTGACTACAGGATGTCCTACTAAACAGGCAAGATTTTTAGTTTTATTTACAGGACCTACCTATATATCTACTAGCTTGTGTGTCAGATTAGAAATGGGTCCATTTTATTATGTCATTTTACATCACATATCACATATTATTTTTTCACCCGATTGCGAAAAGTAATGGTGAGTTTAGGTTTTTTTTTTGACGTATTCCATATTCGTAGCGACTCGCGTTGAAATTGTAAATGTTTACTTTTTTTGGTACAAATGGATCATAATGATCAATAAATACCAGTTAATAGAAATTTTGGATACTTAAGGACTAAAATAATAAGAACGTCAATTAGAATGGGGCGTTATCTTAGGCGAATGATAAGGATATAGTGGATAGAGGCAGTTAGAAATGGGAAGGTATTAGAAAGAGTAGCAGAATATGGAAGTCAATAAGAATAGGCGGGATAGATTAGTAGAGCATCTTCTCAGGCATGAAGGGCTAGTTGGAGAATTATTAGATGAAGTTAAGAGGAGTAGATTGATGATTTTAAGACCGTTAATTTTTATCTAGAGTAATTAAACACATTACTACATTTACTGTTACTGTCACGGTTACTGTGTTACTGTTACTCTGTCAAACCCCAATAACAGCATTATCTTTGCTCTTTATGCCTGTCACGTTCCGAGCTAACCCTCCTTAATATTCTTTGATCCATTCTTTATTCCATCTTCACACACACTTTACACACCTATTTTATGTCCATATTCTTTCTTTTTTCTTCCTCTTCTTCATCCAATACCCGATCTGTTATTATTTCCATTTCATTGCTTCTTCACTTTTATCTTTCTCTCTAGCATCATTTGTATTCTTCTCTCTTCCACGGTCATATCATCCCTTATACCATTTCTAATTATCTGTATCTTATCTTCCCACATCTTCATCTTTACCTCATATATTTTCTTCTAAAGCTTCCATACCTCCACTACCTCTACCTTCAATACCATCTTCTTCTTTTATAACCCTTTCCAGATCCTTGTTCCCTTTTAACTCTATTTCAAGAATTATTATATTTCGCTTCTTTTCTTCTTTTCTTTTCTTTTCTAATTCTATTTCCATTCTCTTTATTCTTTTCGTCTACATGCTCCACCTTACGCTTTTCTATTTCCAAATCCCCCAATACCATCTTTTTGACTTCTTCTTTTAAGTTGTCCTTTCCTATTGTAAATATTTCCTTATGCCGTTTTTCATCGCAGTTTTTCTTCCAATTTCTTTACTTTTTTACTTGTTTCTATTTCTCTTTCTTCCATATTTTCTTTTATATTTTTATTTTCTTCCTGGATTCCCACCATCTTTTGTTCCAATTCTTTCCATCTTCTTTCTTCTTGCAATTCTCTTTTACTTTGCTTTTGCCCATTTTCTTCCCCTTTTTTTATTTCCCCTCTTTATATCCTCTAACATTAGCATTATTCTATCTAATTTCTCCATCTCCCTATTAAGCTTCACTACAATTTTTCTTTTAAAATCATCTTTTCCTTCTTCCGGACTACTGGTTTTTTTTTATTCTTGTTCTTTACTCTTCCTTTGTAAATCCAATTTTTCTTTGCTTCTTCTCCTTTATCTTCAGCTTTATTATTTTCTTCCATATATTTCACCCTTCAAATTCTCTTCCTTAAAATTTGAATGAAAATAAATACAGCTTTTCCTTTTACCGTTGGTCTGAAGAAACCAAAAAAAAAAACTGTTCTGCTTTTTCTTGAATTCAACTTTTTCTATAATAATATTGTTACGTTTTTGTCAAATGTAACTGTCTCGTTGGCAATTTTTTAGACAATATAAACAACTGTACCCTTACCACACAATTAGAGGGTTAATAGGAAGCAACTTCTTTTTGATTAGACATAATAAAACATGAGCAATCAAAGTCAGTTATTACGCTTACCCGGAATTTCCTACTGATCGTCTTAAGCAAAGAAAGCAAATTTATCTGTTTCTTGACTTGACCAGTTTAACTTGGGACCAAAAAGTAGGGCAATTATTTGGCGTTGCTGGTTGACTTCAATAACAAAAACAATTCATTTTTGACCATGTTACATAAAATTTTCGTGTGGGTTTAGTATTCTGTGACATGATAGAGGGCTGGGAAAAAGAGGGAGTTGATTTCAATTTATCGTGGGGTGTGTCACCCATGGCGAAGCTTTTCCTGCTCTCCTTCATAGTGTAAAAAAATAATTTTTATTTTAAATTATAATTGTTGGGTAGGTCACATTTTTTTATCAGTTCTTATTTGTTTACTACAAGAGGGTGAAACAGAGAACACCCTTTCGCTTTTCGCTTGAAATCCTCTAAATAAGCCACGAACTATTTAATCGTCTTAAGGTTAACGTAAAGAAGACACCGTTTTACAGAGAGACATTATAATGTTTTTTAATACCAACGATATTCATTTTAGGTTTGTGTTAGCCAATGCCCGGAAGTATTTTTCAGTTTTTCGCTTAACGCTAGTTCCAATGGCAACTATAATAGAAGCTATATGATTTGCGAGGGTGGAGTTCAACCAAACAATTATGCATTGGCCGTTTCTTGGGTCGCACAATCAAAATGCGCAAGTTGGTATCTGCCAAGTAAATCAGGTAAGTAGACCGTTTTTTGTTAAGTTAAAACTGACTCATTTTTTAATACAACAGACATACTATCTTGTCTGGGAATTTTAACTACTTGTATAATCATGTTTTTTTGACGTGATAACGTTTTATAATTCGATGGAGCCGGCTGCACGCACGAAAAAACATGACTCATGCGGCGTTACCTCGCTCTGAGGCGTTCCATTTAAGGCTTGAAGTGCAAGCGAGAGCGCGGAACGAGCGACAAAGAGGCACAATCGGCCTCCGCGTTCGGCAGCGTTCNGCCGGGAAATTTTTGCTTTTTGATAAGAAATGTATGCGCGTGTCCATTTGGCGCAATCTCCATTTGCTGATGGTCAGATAAAACGTTTTGTGATTAGTTTGATAGATGCACGAATGACAGAGTGCGTTAGGGAATGTAAGTGGTTGGAGCGAAGGGGTCAAGAATGGTCTAGCTGGTCTGGTTGAGATGTCACGGAAGATATAGCTTTGTTAGTACCCGGTATAAGAAATTACCGCCAACTGGAAGTGTTGATTACTAATTTTTAACAATATTCTGTGAAATATTACGTAAAAACTAGCACTAACATCAGACTTTAAGAAAAGCAAGTAATGTTTTTACGTACCTTTAGCACCTAGTTTTTGCAAATTGGTTGTTGGCCCAAGTTGGCAGGTGCATACGTACAAACTTACTTAACGCTACTCTATCCTACCCATTTTGGTACTCTAAAGGTAAAATAAGTAATGTCTGGCGGCTCTCTTATGTGTGTTTTCTTAATATTTTTACAACAGTCCTTACCATTATAAAATAAAGAATTTATTATTTCTTTTTATTCATGTTATTATTTTTTATTATTTGTTCTTAAGTGATAATGAATCTACATACGTATTTGTATATGTACTTATTATGGTATTTGAAAAATTGAAAAATCAGGATTTCAACGATATGATTTTTTTGAAAAAGTTTCCTATATTCTCTCTACTTCTTGATTCTTTTGTAGAGAGACCGCAGGATTTATACCCAACAAAATAAATGTAGTTACATACATTTACGACTAAGAATAATAATTTTTCAGGCTAGTGCTGAAATTAAAGTTGTTCATTCGAATATTTTTTTAATAAAACCAGAAAAAAGAGACAGCACAATTTTAATAATTTCTCATTAATTTATGTAGATAAGTACCAATATTATTTCGGACTATACAACTACATGGTGGAAAATTCTGGCAGGTTTAGGATTCGCTGCCTTAGTATGTATAATTTACATTGCTATGATGAGGTGGACGGCGGGTTTAATGGTATGGCTATCTATAATTGGAGTACTTGCATTTTTAGGATTATGTAAGTAAATACATACCTATTACGATGAACATATTTAGGTACTTAAGAAATTTTAATTTTTTTATGGCGTTATTGATAATATGATACTACTATGTTTTCGACACCATTTTTCCATTTTTAAACGACAACCAGTTAAGTTATTCGTTATGGAAACTATGATAATAGATTCAATTTTAATTTCAAATGCATTTGTATGGGGTTTGTTCAAAAAGTATTGCGAACTTTGTGTTTTTTCAAAAACTATTTATTTATTTTGCCCTTTCAAAGAATCCCCACCAGATATTATACACTTGTGCCAGCGTTTATTCCAAACCTAGAAGAACTTCAAAAAATCACTTTCTGTGAGCTTGTTCAGCTCCTCCTTCGATACCGTCCTTATTTCCTTAATCGTAGGGTAGCGTCGTCCTTTCTTGGGCCTCTTCAGTTTCGGGAGCAAGGAAAGGTCACAGGGGGCCAGATCTGGGGAATACGGTGGTTGCGGCATTATTAGTTCTTGTTTTTGGCCAAAAATTTGCGCACAAGTAACGAAGTGTGGGCAGAGGTCTTATGGTGCAAAAGTCAATTTTTGTTCTTCCACAAATCCTTATTGACCGTTCTACCCTGCGGCAAGAACTCATGATGGACCACGCACGTCCCTGCAATCGAAGAAGACTAAGCAAAACCTTCGCATTCGACCTAACTTAATGTGCTTTTTTCGGTCTTGACTCGTGCGGCAGCTTCCATTGGGGTGATTGAGCTTTAGTTTCCACGTCATAACCATGATTCGTCAGCAGTCATCGAGGACAGAGTCCAACATCTCCTTAGTAATGTTAATAGGATGCTGTTTTTGGTCGAAATTGAGCGATTGTAATATGAATTTCGCGGCGACCCGTCTCATGCCCAAATCATGGGCAAAAATCGAATGGCAGGAGGCAGTCGATATGTTTAGGTGCTCAGTAACTTTTCTAACGATTTGACGATTGGCCAGCACTATTTTCTTCACTTTATCAATGTTTTCGTCTGTTGTTGACGTGCTCGGGCGTCCGGCACGCTCTTCGTCGTTCACATCTTCTCGGCTCTGTAAGAACATTTTGTACCACCAATAAACGTTGCTTCGGTCCAAGGTAGCTTCACCATATGTCACAGTCAATATTTGGAATGCGTCGGCGCACTTAATTTTGTTTTTCATACAATATTTGATACAGACTCTTTGATCCATTTTTTGGAATAGGCAAAAATCGAAGAACAGCCAAAACACGTGCAAGCAAAGCAGCTGTCAAAAGTAATTGAACATTTAACATGGCCGAACTTGTCGGTATACATGAGAGTCATGAGTACCAATATAATGCCAAAAAAATCGAAAATCGAATATACGTAACCTGCCGAAATTCAAAATTTGCAATACTTTCGAATAGACCTCGTACATATTATGTTGATAACGTAAACGCAATCTCTCGCTAATTTTACAGTCGCTCCATGTATCAAATTACACATAATCACCCAGAATTGAATACTTAAATGAAGAAAACTCTGAAGTTTTTCCGGTTAATATTCTCGATTTCAATTCATTTTTCGAAAATGTTTAAAAGCATGTATTTATGCTTTCATTTAACAATGAGTATAATATTATACATTGACTTGAATTGTATATAATACTAAATTATGAACATTGTAATACATACTCTTCATTATTATGTACTGTTTCCAAACATGATGGTATTATAGCTGGAGTTTTGAAAAGGAAGAAGCCCCGATTGGCTATAAATTTTTAACACAGGTTCTATTATGGACTAGAACAGCGTTTCAGATTTTCTTTTTTGCTACGGAACCCTTTTTGACTCACCAATTTTTGGCGGAACACCATCTCGACAAAAAGTAAACCCATAATAGATTTATATATAAGACTCCTGCCACCTTATTGCTTACATGTTGTAATCTTCAACCTGAATTTTGAATTCAAAATCTTGATTGCACATTTTTACTGATAATAGCATTAAAATAAGGTTTCGTGTCCGATAATTAAATTCGAATATCCGGAGTGGCATTCGACACGGTGAATATTGAAGCTTTAGCCTGATTTGCGAATGGATTCAGTACTAAGTGGTGGTTGTCCTGTAATTCTTTTGAAAAATACTTTTCTAAGGATTTTTTGAGGTTCAACAGGTGTTAGTTTATGACTTTATACGCATCTGAAGATACTTTGACCATTTTGATAAATCCGTTTAGAAGAGAAAAACTAGGTTCCGTGGAACACGATTTGGGAACCGCCAGACTAGATCATTAGATGATGATTGATGATACTTGAAAGGTTTTTTAACGCCTCCAAACTTCTATCGTAAAGAGCAAAAAATTGAGATAAATCTACGGAGTTTTTCTTTCCAGAAAAAAAGAACAGTGCAATAATCCTTTCAGGTATCATCGTAATACATAAGAGTGTGATAAAAATTTGAAACCAATCGAAGCATGTCCGTTTTTAAAACTCTCGATGGTATTACTTGTATTTACATTACAGAAATAATGCTATGACTGTTTTTTTCAAGGTGTTTACATAACAGTTGATAATTACTTGTACTACAGAAACAGTAGCGACTCCCCATCGAACTTCCTTACGCAGTACATTTCCACGAAAAACGTATGGCTGGTCTTGGCTATAGCCGCCTCTTTCGTATTGGTTGTAATTTTACTGATTTTACTGGTTTTGCGAAGTCGCATATGTTTGGCCATCGTTTTAGTAAAGGAATCTAGCAAGTAAGTTGAAACAGTTACAACTAAGCAGTGTGTTTGGTAAATTAAAAAAAAATAAACATTCTCCTAGTCCTGCATTTGCGAATATGGTATGTGGGTGAGTAAGGGAGTTTACCGCATGCGTTACAAATACATTGAGTGCCAGAATTAGGGAAGAGATGCGGAAAACATTTTTTAAACAGCAGTTTTCTCGACAGAAATGGATACAGCACATTTTTTTGAATACGACAATTTTCTCGTACCTAATGAGAAAATTATGTCAACAATTTTAAATCCAGAAAAATTAGTCAGAAAAGGTTTCTTTAAAACAAACCAAATCAAACGCGGGCAACATAAGTAAATCAACTGTTCAAATTGTAAATGCGGCTACCTGCTGATTCTTCTCCAACAGTGTCAACCTTGAAGAAGAAACAATAATTCGATCTTCGCATTTTCGTGACCTTTTCTTAAGTGATTATCGGGCGATAGTTCGGCTTAGCCCTTACATCCGCCCCATATTTTTCGTTGTACAGGGTGCAGGAGGTGATAGAGCACTATCAAACAAGAAAACTAAGTAAATGTTTGATGGTTCGAATATTCACCGTTTTCAAGAAAAATGTATTTTAAAGTGCAACCAATTATCAGTCCGGTCCTGGTAGGATAACTCAGGGAAATACGACATTGCAACGCTGCATTCAATCAGCTGCTATTTACCAGCATCCACATTGTATTTCTTTTGTAGTTTTGCACTCCCGTATTATTTGTTATTTGTAAGATTTAGATTAAGTTTATGTTTACGGCCATCCTAGAATAGTTTTTTGGTCATTTATCGTTGTAGGCTTGTATTACGTATATATGTATAGAGTCGATGTCACTAGAAGTAGGTCAATGTGTCAGTGTCACAGGTTAGCCCAAAATAGTTTTATTGCATTAACTAATGCGTCAGTTTCTAAATCGGTTTGACTTCTTTGTATGGGGTAGTNGCTACCTGCTGATTCTTCTCCAACAGTATCAACCTTGAAGAAGAAACAATAATTCGATCTTCGCGTTTTCGTGACCTTTTCTTAAGTGATTATCGGGCGATAGTTCGGTTTAGCCCTTACATGCGCCCCATATTTTTCGTTTTAAATTGGGGGTACACTCCGTATAATGTACAGGGTGCAGGAGGTGATTGAGCACTATCAAACAAGAAAACTAAGTAAATGTTTGATGGTCCGAATATCCACCGTTTTCAAGAAAAATGTATTTTAAAGTGCAACCAAGTATCAGTCCGGTCCTGGTAGGATAACTCAGGGAAATACGACATTGCAACGCTGCATTCAATCAGCTGCTACTTACCAGCATCCATATTGTATTTCTTTTGTAGTTTTGCACTCCCGTATTATTTGTTATTTGTAAGATTTAGATTAAGTTTATGTTTACAACCATCCCAGAATAGATTTTTGTTCATTTAACGTTGTAGGCTTGTATTACGTATATATGTATAGAGTCGATGTCACTAGAAGTAGGTCAATGTGTCAGTGTCACAGGTTAGTCCAAAATAGTTTTATTGCATTGACTAATACGTCAGTTTCTAAATCGGTTTGACTTCTTTGTATGGGGTTGTATGAAACAGCCCGTGTATCAAACGCCAGTGCAGAGCGCTAATGATTTGTACGACGTGTATGGTCGCTGCAAATGAAGTATGTCAAATGCCGGACTTTTTTGCGCGACTAATAAGTTGTAAATTTTCTAATAAATCTGTCTCGCAAATAGACTCATCTTCTTCCGACTATTGGTCTAGCAAATAGACCATAAACGCATCCTCATCGAGCTACAATCCCGCAAATAGACTGGAGAGGGATCTTTATTTGTTAGCTTGTATACGCACGTTACAAAATGTTTTAGAAATATCTACATGGGGCTAAGAGAAATTATTTTGTATTTATTAGTACAGTTTAAAAACGTGGTGTACTAAAGGTTAATTATTTTTTTAGAGCAATTAGTTCAGTGACGGCATCTCTATTCTTTCCCGTCTTTCCTTGGATTATTCAGATTGTAGTGATTATTTATGGTCTCGTTATCGGATTGTTCCTTTTAACACTAGGGGACCCTTATTACCAAGTAAGAAATATGGATCCAAATTGTGCATGTACTGGAAATGGCGTAAATTATACTGTAAGTACTTTTTAGATAAGAGAGCATTAAATAAAACTAACAATAAGAAAAATATGTAACATGGAAGTAATGTAACAGCAACTCACAATCACTTTACAAATAGAANGGAGGCCATTGTAGCTTTACGGGTAATAATAGAGAAAACGATAGAAAAAAGAAAGAGGGCGTACATAGGATTTGTAGATTTAGAAAAAGCTTTTGACAATGTTAAATGGGACAAGATGTTAAATATATTTAAAAATGTAGGGACGAGTTATAGAGATAGAAGAGCGACACTTAGTTTGTATAAAGAGCAACAGGCAGTTATAAAGCTGGAGCTGCAAGGTAGAAAAGTAAATATCAGGAAGGGAGTCAGATAGGGATGCACACTGTCACCGCTACTTAGTATCTGTTGTTGTACATCTGTAGATGTAATTATTTTTTAGCTGTAAATATACTTTGCTTCTTTTGGTCGGCCTTTTTTGTATCTGCGTTTGGTGAAATGGTTTTGGCTTCTACATTTGCAACCTGGTATTGGACTTACCATAAATCGCAACTTCCATTTTTCACAGTTACAGTGTCATTATTCAGAACACTTAGGTTCGTTCATATTTTAATACATATAATACAAGTAATTATAAACTCAAATACTATTTTAGGTACCATCTAGGCACTTTAGCATTTGGTTCACTGATAATAAGCGTTTGCCGAATTATAAGAGTGATTCTGGAATACATAGACTACCAATTAAAAAAGTATGATAATCCTGTTACAAGAGCAATTATGTGCTGTTTAAAGTGTTTCTTCTGGTGTTTAGAGAAATTCTTGAAATTTATAAACAGAAATGCATTCACAACTGCGGTGAACATTATCAAATGCGAAGAAGTACCAGTCGAAGTTGTCTTCCGTGCCTTTCGACAATGACTAATATATATGTGTTTTTGTAACTTAAAAAGCACCCTATAGTTATATTAGTAACGAATTCATTCAAAACATTTTAATGTTATGTTTTTATTGCTAGACCGGATCTGAATGTGTCCCAACAACATTTGCTAGCAGTTGTAATAGTACTGCTTGTTCTAGTGCAAGCTGCTATTTCGTCAGAATTGATTCTCCATCTTATATCAATGCATTCCATGGTAAGTTTTCATTTCCAAATTTTTAACGTTGATACTCAGGATTACAACAT